ACTGCTAGTCAATCTTATCAAAATATATGTTTGGCTACTGTAACAAGCATTTCACCTTCATTAGCATTAACCAGCTTATACAGTTTTTTTATTCAATTTATATATTCATATTTGCCAAAGAAAGAACATCTCACATTGTACCAATTCCCATAACCTAGCCATGTTTGTTCATTTTCATTAACATCTGCCAAATAAAAGTTGCAGTGATGGAAGCGAATAATGTGGACATCGGGATAAACATTGGGTTGTTCAACAATCATAAAGTAGGGCACAGGGCAAACGAACCTTTAACTAACCATCTCCAAACTCTTACACTTTACAGTACGCCGCTACTAAAATGTACAGGCCACGCTGTTTGTCTGTATTGAACGACGATGCTTGTTGTGCGTTCGGGACGACGACATCAGGCGAAGCCGAGGGAAGCGGATAAAATACCGTTCGTCGTGCTATTTACACACAGCCAGTGTATAACTCGAGTATTAGGTCAGGGAAAGATTTTAAAAACTACATCTACGCTTCACAGACAACACGGCACCCTAAACCAACATCATTCTACAGTCCACACCCTTCATAACCCTTTAAACTCGCACGTGCTGCCTCGTGCTCCACATGCTACCTATGTTAGTAAATTAATAATTACAATATTACAACAGTTTTACAGCATTTAAAACGGGAATAATCAACTAAACACGACGCTACTAAGAAAGGTTCGCCTGTTAAAGACTCACAATAACTGTACTTTAAAGACGGAGAAATATCATACAAAAACACCCTAACTAGCCACATAGTGATTATTGAACAGTGATTATTGAACATGGTGACTATTGAACAGTGATTATTGAACATAGTGATAATTGAACATAGTGAGTATTGAACAGTGATTACTGAACATGGTGATTGTTGAACATAGTGATAACTGAACAGTGATTATCGAACATGGTGATAATTGAACAGTGATTACTGAACAGTGACTATTGAGCATAGTGAAAACTGAACAGTGATTATTGAACAGTGACTACTGAACACATGGATGAGTTCCTACCTCAATGCAGGATCGCAATGAAAGGGAAAGAATTTCCGCTCTTACTCGCTCTTAAGGCGAATTCCACAGGAAACTTTTTAAAATACACCACACTTCAAATACATCATTTTTCAAATCTTCTATATTTAAATTTACACTGCTGAATCACTATGCCTATACTGCCTGAAATGAAAACACAATTTTAGAACAGAAAATATCTCGCCAACACATTTAAATATTTATTATCTACAACATCAGCTACACTATCAACACTACAAGCTGTGCTACATAACCAACACGTTTTAGACCTTAAGATGTTATCATGTCAACCTATTCAGTACATAAATATATACATACAGAACCATCCTAAATTCTCAAAACATCTAATGCTCTTCTAACTTAAAGACAAACACTATTTCTACTGTTAGTCAATCCTATCAAAATATGTACTCAGTTGTGCTGCTTTAGCGTCTTTTCGACCTGTTTTGTGCATTATATGGAACAGAGATGTCCAATCCTATGCAAGGGCCAGTGTGGCTGTAGATTTTCACTCTATCAAAGCAGAACATCACCTGATTAAATATTTAAAGAGCAAGACGAACTGATTAAATAAGTAGAACCAATTGTGCTTCAGCATATTTACAGTGAAAACCTGCAGCCACACCTGCCCTTCGCAGATAACATGGAACACCGCTCATATAGATGTTCGTGATTGACCACATGGGGGCGCTCTACACTCCAGAAAGACTTTCAGACCTCTCATTTATCTGACACCATCTCAAAAACGAACGTGGCACTTTAGCAATAACACAACCATGAAAACATACTAAGTACAAAGTTATATCAATATATTATGTGAATTATAATCTCCCAGTGCATTTACCTAAGTAGGCATATCTTAGTTTTGCAGTGTTATACGTCACTCAGTTTTCCATTGCAGTTATTCACTTCTGTCATGGCTGACCTCAGGCTTTCTTCATTTAACACGGCGCTGCACTGACCAGCACAGTGTATACTGATTTAGTTTGTAATCATGCTGACAGGGGTGTTATAATCTACATAACTGCACGTACAACTTGCTTAATCTTCTCACAGATTAAAACTTCTGCTAACAATTCTTTACACAGAAATTATGTAGACTACAGGGCAGAGTTCATTACAAGGTTTTTATTTTCATATGTGAATTTTTTTCTTAAATAAACATTATATTTCATATGTGAACATCGCAGAACCTCCCAGCTCATGTGAAATGCTGCTGTACAGCTGTGCAGTTGGACAGAAATCTTCTCAGCTCCTCTTTCCAGTGATGGCTGCGAATGTTTGTCTGCAGACCCAGACGAGACATCAGTGTTGCAATTTTCACAGACATGACACACAGCCACCATGACAGCCAGCATGACGGCTGACTTACAGACCAACACATTTGTCTAATCAAGCATTTTGAAATTATTAAACATTCATATTTTACATTTCCTTAAAATGCAATGAAGTCTACATAAAACACAACTATTTAAATAAATGTACAACACAGACTCTTCAATTATGATATTGTTAGACACACCAAAAATACAACTAAACACTAAAATAATTGGTTTTAAAATAACAGTCTACACAATCACATTGAACTTATAGAACAGACTGAACATGACCCATTGTCATCTATGTGTTATAAATTACTAATATTGATCAAATTTGGGTTTTATGAAGACACAGTAACCATAGTCATACTCATAGAACAGCTGATGTATAAAGTATGGTGTTCATGCTTCACTGTATCCATTTTCTATAAGTGGTGCACTACTAAAAAGTAAGCTTGAATAAAGCAGTGTATGTTCATAATCTCTGTGTGTATCATTTCAAAATGTGATAAACTAATATAACTGAAAATAACTATGTGATAACAGAATGTTACCAGTATCATATATTTAGATTTGTTCTGGATCATGGGACATGGTCTGTGCCCTGATTAACTACTCCTATACACAACAAGAAGTATATGAGTTTGATACAGTGTTCTGTGATGTAGTAACATGTTGAAGACAAAATGGCTGTTATTTGTATTTAATGTCACACAAACTATTAGACCGTGTAGGTGTGTTTTGGTTATATGTCAGGCATGCATTTACAACAACCCAGCTACATGAGTAAATTCCTAAAGTGACGTGCTATAATTAATAACTAATGATCAATGATAGATCCATTGTTTTCTAAAATGTGTAAGCACATAGATAAAACATATGAGAAGTACAACTGTACCATCTGGAGAAACGCAGACAATGGTGCAATGAATGCTGCATGTTTTTGTCTCCTGAAGTCCATTTATTATCAGCAGTAGCATTTACTGCAGTGATGTGGACATACATCTTACCTACAGAGAACACAGAAAACATAAGAATTAGCACTCCATTTAAAGACCTTTCCTGATATTAGTAACTACTATGCATGAAATGAGCAATAGAAGATACCTTGTGCAGGAGCAACTGGGAAAATTTGTGGTGTTCTAAAATTGGTTAAACCTTTAATCAGACTTATTTGATTATCATAATCCATAAACATTTCTATTAATATAAAACAGAAACACAAACAAAATCATCTTTAGTACTAATGCTTGTGATATATATGCTACACATAAAACTATAACACTTTATCCCTTTGTATGCCACTGAAATGGTAGTCTTCACAAAATATTTCAATATTGATGATTATGTTTATCATGCAGAACACACATAAAAACAATATCTGTCATCACAAAACCTGATGATTGTTGTACAGTACATGTCTTTAAATTTACATAAAGATTCAAGTTAGATTATACTATTGAGCTCTTACAAAACCAATTAGTGACTGTCACTGGCTTTTTTGGGACACAACATGAATCACTTCAAACAAGTACATTACAACATCTAACTTAATTTGAATTCTGTTTCAAAACTTGTTACACTAAACAACAACTGTTCATCTGGTGACGCCTTAGAGACACCACTATTGCAGTTTTGACACTGCTCACAGAGCAATTAATAAAAAATTAAATCCTAATAAAAGGTGAAATTGATACATAAACAAATGTGCAACAAGAATAATGTATTTATAATATTGCAGCAGGACCACAGCACTGCTTAATGAACACTTGCAAAAAAGGCCAAAACGTGTTTTACTTTGAACCATGCATCTTAAATTAAACGGTTGAGGAATAACAACCAACAACAAATCAAAAGTTACTTTTGTTGTGCGATTTTTCTAAGCTTCTGAAACAGTTCACTACAATGACTAACACTGTCTCAAAACAACATACTACTATCTCATGCAAATTATGTCAATGAACATACTTGTAATAAGTGTGCATTACTTTTACATGCACTATTAAAGATGGTTCTTCAAGGGCTCTTTAGTAAAGACAATAATTCTATTAACAACCATGAGTTCTATATAAGCAGTTCATAACTAAATGGTTACTTGCAGGATGACCTTCACGTTGATGTAGAATGTGTAGTATATAGTTCTATATAGAACCTTTTGGAAACTACTCCTGTATAACAACAAAAACAGTTCTGCTGCTGTTAGAAACACAAACTTATAACAATACAAAAATGTTTTTTGTGCTTCATAGAAATATATACACAAAACCTTCTCCATCAAACTGAACAACTTCACCAACCACAGAACCACTTAAGCATCAAATGAACAAATGGTTCTATCTACAACCATTCCATTTACTAAAATGCCTTTAAACACACTTCACCACACACCTGCCTTCACTGCATTTTAAAACAATGGAAAATACATGCAGAAATTCTGAATAACTTATAAATAAATAAAAGCTTCACTACATAATTGTGTTGGTCTGGATTCTATGCTTCAAACCTGATTCTCACTTCTTTTAAGACTTGAAACAATGTTGCTGTTTACTGCGACAGGGAGTACAAATACGGCTACGGGACAATCACACTTCACTTGTGGGCTTGAATCACTGACCGTCAACATGGCAACTCCAGCGAAGCGTCCCAGAGAAGACCAAGAGACCGTTTCCTGCTACATCCACAGCGTCTCCCCCGTGAAGTTCTCTGCCAACAGCGTGGAGTTCTTCAACGCGGTGCTGCAGACCGGCCGAGAGGACTTCCACGATGCGGTGGTCTTCAGTCCGGGCAAACGGCACGCATTTCTCCAGGCTGCGCGGAATGGAACCCCGCTCTGCCTGAAGAGCGTAAAGAAGGCGTTAAGTAAGTACGTCTCTTACGCACAACTCTATAAATATGTCACCGTTTACGAACCTCTTCCTAACCCAGTATTGTATGTTTTCCAGGTTTCAAGGGCACGTCAGACTTTGACGTGATCGTCAATAACAGAACTGACGTCTCAGTCACCACGGTGCCGTTCGCCGCACGGAGCCCCCCATCACCGCACAAAACGACCCTAAAAGAAGTCATGACGATGCCGGCAGGCAGAAAGGTAAACACTTTAAACTCTCTATGAGCTGCAAATTGCACTTTAATGCGCTTTACTGACCTTTTTGTCCTTTCTTGTCTCTCTGGTTGCAGGTCAGCCTGGTGGAAGCTATAGTCCTCTCTCTAAGTCCATCCGTTCGAACGGTGAACATCCGCGGGACCAAGCGGGAGGTCAGAAACTGCTGCATCTCCGACGGGACCGCGCAGATGACGCTGCAGCTGTGGGAGAGGTGCGTGGACACCGTCCAGGTGCTGTCATCCTACGCCTTCACGGAGCTCTCAACTAGGACATTTGAGGGCAAACTTCAACTTACCACCTCCATCAACACCACCTGCAGCCCCATCGGAGACTTGGATGTCCCTGACAACGCCGGCGGCTCTGCAGATCCGCGGCTGAGCTCCGTCACTGGCCCTGTCCACGCGTTAGAGATCCGGGCTACCATGAAGTGTTCTCTCTGCGGCAGCCGGCTGGACAGCTTCCTCCCCAGGAACAAGTTCCACCGCCGCTAGCAGCGCCGGATGCTGCAGAAGACGGCGACCTACAAAAGACTGCTCTCTGGCACGCTCAAAATTGACGAGGACAACGAAGAGTTCACGCTGTCTGTAAACAATTCTCCGCTTTCATCTTAACTGGAAAGGTATACCCACTTACAGTGGGTGGACAATGTTGAAGAGCTGGAGGAGCACTTCTTAGGACAATCGTCTTTCTGTATTTGCTTTGATGATGAGCTCCGCGTCACTAACATCATTCAATCTGCTGCAACCGGTCCCAGCAGCGCCCACCACTCTGAGCCGTCAGCCCCTCCAAGCGTTGCCGCAGGCGACCCCTCTGAGCCGTCAGCCCCTCCAAGCGCCGCCACAGGAGATCACTCCCAGCCCACAACGCCCCCAAGCGGCGCGGAAGCTGAACACTCTCAGCCCGACAAACACTGACTGTCTTCGTGAGTTCCCAATTCTTAGTGCCTGTTAGGTGAGTTTGCTTTCTTAGCGTGCTTTCTGAACATTGTACATTTCTGTTTGATACTATTGTTTTGTTAACTCGTAATTTTACGTCTAAAAAGTCTTTATTTTTTGGTTAAATTGTCACTGTTCCTACTCGATCGTTGTTTTGCAATGCTTTGCCTTTAAGTAAATTGCCGTTCACTTTTTTTTGTAATAAAGTCGTTGTAATTTAACTTTTGTGTGGACATTTGGATTATTACGTTTCTTTCAGTATAAACTTTAAATTATGTTCATGTCCTATAATGCACTACAAACACACAATCTTAATGTTCAGTGATCTATTGCTGTAAAATTCAAATAATACTAATAAGAATTAATAAACCACTACACACTTCTACATAAACTCATCCAGATAATCTAATAATATAACTTAACTAAAATAAAACCAAATTTTCTTTAATGCACCTTTGAGCTCCTCAACTGTAGCCTACAATATATTTGACAAAATATAATTTACACAATATTTTGATGCTTTCTTGAACCCACAACATAAAAATATATATCCTAAAATTGTTCTTTTATAATATGTACGAACCACTTCCTGAACGCTTTTCACTAACTTTTACCTCAAAAACACTTACTTTACTTCTTTCCTTTCTTTTCTGCCGTTTACTCCGCTCCTGTACCTATAAAGCTGATAAAACACATATTTTTGCTGCCTAGTAACTGTAAAGCGAAGCTTCCTGAACCAGCGAAGCTTTGTTTGAACTTCTATCGAAAAAGGTTCCTTTCTCTGCGTTTAAAACCATGTACATAAATGACATCTAGTGGTTAAAAAGGTGAACTGCACTTATAACTTCGCTCTGCTAAATTGACTCTACTAAATCTTGATCTCCAACGCATTTAAAATAACCTAATTTGTTTGTAAAGCACTACAGGTAATTACTAAACATGACTTTTGAGTTATATCACCTTACAGGTCATCTTTACAGCTGATATTTCGCAAAACTCCTCTTATAAGGTCTACACAACTATACAGAAATAACCTTTCCTTATTATTTCACATTTAAGTTGCCTTAAAACCATGAACAACTACCGGTTCGTTTATATTGAATACGTTTTTCAACGATATCACGTGATTGTATCCATAAGCTTCAGAGGTCATGGGTCACATGGGTTTTTTCAGCGCAAACCCTATTCAACGATCAACACAGTTCTCCGGTGTAAAGTAAGTTGTTTTTCCTTAAACATGCTAAAACTTTCTGTACAAAATGTAATATACTATCAAGTATTCACTTACCCGTTTGTCCAAATCTCCAGTGCTAAGTCTCCACTGCGGAACTTAGCATGTAGCTGCTCGTACGCCTATGTTTATCTACTTGCTGAAGCTGAGCGTTTCCGCACATCTTGTGTGTTGTGAACATTTTTTAGGCTTCTTTACCCCTCTTCAGAACTGCGGAACACCGTATACAGTAAGCTATACAATAAGCTAGCTAGCGTTACTAATACCTACACGACCTTTCATAGCATCAACCTCACCTTATTTTTCTCTATGTAAACTTTACTGTGTTCTCATATACAACATATTTCCTTATCAGAAAACTGCTCTGTTGAGCATTCAGTTCACTTTTATCAACGCAATTCATAGACACTTTGTTCTAATAACCCAGTTGCTAATATTTGCTTATATCTTCATTCATTCGTTAATTTCAGAACTGTCAGTAACTAACTTACATTACTTTACGTGATACCATGTACATTTTTGAAATATGTCCTTTGTACCCCAAAACACACAAAATTTTTATAGCATGCTTTCAGTAGAATAGCCTACGATGCATCTTCATATAATCATGTTAAACACGTTCACTGCAGTCATTATTTGTTATCTTTACAAATACCACATATTAACTTCCCATGTGTCCTGCGTTTTCAACCCATCACTGCCAACACATTATGTTCAAATATTTCAAGCAACATACAGTTCAAATTCACATACAATCAAATAAACTATTATGAACATATTACATACTACATACACGTTACAAACATTGGCCTACATTCACAATCCCAAAATCACTCCATTGAGCTACACATGAAAACAACTCTCTGATGTCTTCCATTTCATCTTTGCCTGTAGGTGTCCACTGAAGCAACATATCAGCCAAAACCTCCAGTATACTGAGTCTACCATCCAAAGCATCCATTGATCAGCTCTCCAGTGTCCTGAGTCTGGAACCACCAATGAAGCAACAATTCTCAATCAGACTAAGTTTGCCATCCTAGGACTTTAGTACACAACACAGTTACATGTACACACTTCATCACTATTTACACTACAACTTCCTAATTTATTTCATACAAAGCACAACCTAACTTTCACTACAGCTGTCACACCATTACAGAATATTCCACCCTGCTAGAACACTTGTTTCTCAAATATAAATTGTCATGGATTAACACTGATACACTCTCATGCACACTACCTTTTATAATAATTGCCTTAAATTGTCTAAATTGTCACATCCACTACTCTTACACCTTTACCACTTTACATTACTTATACACACATTATTTTTGATTATTAATACATTCATTGTCACTTCATTTACTTCTATATTTCTCTTACTTGGTATTTCCAATTTGCATTACTTTAATGTCCAAAATGTCATATTGACCCACCCATCTTTCAGTGACAACCTATTTCCCTTACAGTTTTCACATTTCTTACTAAAACATACATTTTTCTTAACTGTTCCACACTATTGATCACATTGCCTTCATTTGCAGCTCTACACACACAGGCTCCCTCTACACTAATGCCACCCCTTTTAGACATTATGCTCATACAAATCACAAACTAAAATGCTTAACCAAGTAGACATCATTCAGCAAAAAGACTTTTACAGTAATTACTGCACAACTCCTAAAAATATTCATAGTACATAACAAAATAATGACACATGACTTGTACTTGTACTTAACACAACTTTGTCTCTTCATTTCTAAGTTCATAACACCATAACTAAAGTCAACAACTCTCCCTCTCTTCTGTCTCTCAACACACGATTATAGCTGTAACTCAGCCAGCATTTCTCTGGAATCATACACTTCACAACCAACACCTACATCAAAACACTGATCACACAACAACTCCCCTGTCCTGACTGTTACGCACAAGAGCTCAAGTGAGACAAACATTACTTTAACAACTTGCTGATATTTTCTATCCTTCTTTCTAGGTGTCCACTGAAGCTACACATCAGCCAACCACTCTCCAGTATCCTGAGTCTGGCATCCAGGGGGTCCAGTGAACCACTGATACACCCACAACTCTCCAGTATCCTGAGACTGGGACCCATGGGGTCCAGTGAACCACTGATAGAGCAGCAACTCTCCAGTATCCTGAGTCTGGCACCCAAGGGGTCCAGTGAACCACTGATAGAGCGAAAACACTTTAATCACCCACAGTCTCCAGGGAAACAGGTTAGTTAACGACTATCTTCATTTCCCACTCTTTCACAATAAGACCTTTTCAGGCACCCAAGGGCTGTTCTCAACAGCACACACTCAATTTCAGTCCACACTGCAGCTCTCTAATATGCTTCATAAAAATAATAATACTTCCAGCACTACAGCCAATAGTCACAGGAATAAACACAACTGTCTTCCTCCCTGAAATTCCTTGTAACTTCTGGACTCCGTTCACTTAGTTTTTGACCTAAGCTGTATTTGAGAACCTTCTCATCTGCTCATTGTTTATGGCAACTGAAGGCGTCTTGATAAACTGACTTCCTTTCAGTTCTATTCACTCTGCCTATAAATAAGACCCACAGCTTGAGGTCTTTTTAGGCCTAATGGGCTAAACGAAAAGCTTGAGGCCTTTATAGGCCTAATGGGCTAAACCTGCAGAAGGGCCCGTACTGCTGTTGCGTGCTTGAACCCGCTCATTGCCGCTTGCGGCTATATTTTTTATTGTTTTTGTTTGTGGAGGAGTCCACATACTACACTGGGAATTGACCACTGTTTACTTAATATTGAGTAGTGAAGGTATTTCTGTTACTTGGGCAAAATATTGACTTAATGTAAGCATTAAATACTCTACAATTTATATATATCTGAAATGACTATGGACAAAAACATCCAATAATTAAATGGTATTCCGTTCATAACTGGACATGTACAACCCATGTAAGAATGAAGGGAGCTTTTCCGAGCCTTTTCCTAAGCCACTGTTTTCCAACTCTGGTCCTGGAATACTGCTGTGCACATTTGAGTCTTTTTTACTGTTCTGTCACACCTGGTCCAACTTATCAGTGGAAACTAAAGTGTGCAGGGCTGGGAGTATCACAGGACTAGGGTAGAGAACCACTGGTTTAAGCCCATGAATGCCAAACAGAAGTGTGTGATCTCATCAGCTTTCAAAAAATAATAAATAAAGACTTAACAGCACCATGAAATGCATTGTGATATGTTGATATCGTCCAGACAGTGAAACTGTGACAGAACTATAGATAGATAGATAAATCACGTTATTACTCCCAGGGGGAAATTCTTCTAAAGTATATGAAGTATATACAGTTAACTTTTTAACACAAAAGGTGATAAGGATCAGCTAGAGTTGCTAGCTGTACAACTAAAAAATACACCAACGAAGCAGGTGTGTCTGATAAAGTGGCCAGTAAGTTGAAACTCTGGCAACACTGCTGTCTGACACACTCACACCAGCACCCCACACACTACCATGTCACTGTCACTGCTCTGCTGCTGTTTGACAACCACCCAAGTAATGTCTGGTCAGTGGTGGTCGTATGGTGGTTCCAGTTTTAATAAACAGAGTAGAGAGAGGCTTATAAACTGTACAGCAAGTGATGAGCTAAATTCTGCAACTGTAAATCTACAAACCACCTACATGGTGTTTTTTTTCTTTTAACTGATTCAAATGTACACACAAATAATTAGTCATATTAGTCAAACCAGAGGATTGCATAAACAGATTAAGAAAAACATTTAGAAACACAAAAAGGGAATAGATTCAATACTTAATCACTCATGTTACTAAAGTACACACTTAAAAAATATGGTTCTTCATGGGTTCTTTAGTAAATAAAATGGATCTATATTGAACCATGAACACTTAACGACCATTTACATGATTAAAGGGTTCTTGGCATTGTGAAACATTCCTCGGATTGATAAAGAATGTACTGTAGATGGGTCTATATAGAACCTTTTTGAAAAGGGCTCTGTATAGCACCAAAAAGTGTTCTGCATTGTCACAAGCTCATATCATAACAATAACAGATGGTGCTATTTAGAACCATTTTCTTCATTAAAGAACCCATGAAGACCAATCTTTTTTAAGAGTGTAGATAATTTTACTTAAACTGCTTTACCGGCTTTTTGCCATTCGTGAATGAGACCGTGTTAAGAGTGCCTAGAAACATTTTTCAGTTCTGCCTTAAATACAGAGAAATATGAAGGGTTTTTCAAAAATATTCTTTTGTACATGAAAGGTTTTGCAATTATGAACGTTATTAACTAAATAATGACATTTGCACTCCTCTCTTAAAAACAAACAAATTTAACATTGTTATAAATAAACTTTTCTGTCAGTATTTTTGGATGAAAGCCCAATACATAATTCATTCCAGAAAACGTCTGAGTAATTACATGTGTAGAAATATATGTTCAGTGTTTTCAATATTGCATACACAGAGTTAACAGTTGTTAATGTCAATATTAAACCTCAGTCTAAGAAATTCTTTGGAAGGGTAAATATCACTGAGGATCGTAAAGTGAACTTCCTTTTGTTGAGGGATAGAAAAAGAGAGAAAATAGATTCTCACATGTTTAGAAATATTAATGTTAAATTCTTTCCAAATATGATAATGATTATTTATATTAGTGTAGCATTTTTTCAGTTAAGATATTCCTGATATCTTGTTTGGTAGGTGTTTCTGGTAAAAGGTCAGAGTGTAGGTGCAAGGTAGGTGGAAATAATAAAGTACAAGTACATAACAGTGCAAACATCAAACTTATGATTGAAATAACGTGTTCAGATATACTAATACTATATCTAAATTGAAATTTGTCTTACATGAACACAACTGATCAATTTTGTTCTGGCAATTACTGTGCTTATGTTTTACATTTTAGTCATATGTAACCACTTGACACATTTTAATCGTCAGTGTTTTTCATTGTGACAGCTGAAGATCGCAAGACATTTTTCATTAGCCCATTTTTTAATAGGAGATGAATTTTTGCATTTCATAATATGCTCTCTGGAACATATAGTACATTAAAGTAGAATAATGCGTCAATGCAGCGGGATAACGCATGAAAATGAATGATTTAAAATTGACAGAGGCCACATGGCAAAAAAAGACGTATTCTGCTTTTTTACTATTTATTAAATAACAAAGACGATTTTTAAAAGGACGCTAAAATGCCTTAACAGATGTGCAAAAAATAGCAACTGCTTTCTTCTGCAACGCTTGTTTCCACATGAAGAAATTCTATGGTTTTGGCTGTTCCGGTAAAAAGCTTTATGATGACACAGAAACCTCCCACTTGCTGGTATCCACCCGCTTGTGGTGTGAGTGCCTCCCCTTTGCTGGTCTCCGGTCTGCAGAGATATACTTGTGCTCTAATCTCGTTCCTAAACTTCGTGGCATCCTGCTCTTCTGCTGGGCGTGTCTCTGCACAGCGAGCTGACGTTATCTGCAGAGTTGCCAGATTTGGTGAATGTTTTCCAGACAGATATAAACACTACCCTAAGCATAGAAGCCAGCACAAAATATATTAAATTCTTAAAACAATATTAATGTATACTATTTAAAACTCAGTCCACTGCTGCTGTCATAATCCCACTGCTGCTACCTTAATCCTAGTGCCATTTTATGACCTAAGACAACAATCTGCCATATACCAATAACAAAGTCTTGCAAATTTGATTATAAAGTGGGTAGCAATGTGATTTTTATTTAATGATATGTTTATAACTTGCCACAGAATGCATATACAACTCCAGTACAATGCCAAAGCTTAGCTTATCACTCCAGAACATATCCACTACTTAGTTCAGTCGTTCCTCAAAAGTTTACTAATGCTCAGATTAATAGCTGGCTCATCACAGTGATTTATCAGTCCACTCTGGCTTAAAAAGGAACTTCAGTGTTTGTAGAGATGCTGTCTTGAGTTCTTCTTTAGATGCTGTCTTTACACGCTGTGCTGATTTAAAAATAGACACTTTTCTTTTAAACATGGTATACTTTTTTTAATTGTAGTAAGAATAGTAAGTATGTAAATATTCTAAAAGTATTCTTTTGAAAATGTTCTGAATATGTTTTCCCAAAATATTATTGTTACATCCCAACCCAGTGTGTGTGTTTGTATGTATGTGTATATATATATATATATATATATATATATGATATATATATATATATATATATGTATGTATGTATGTATGTGTGTGTGTGTATATATATATATATATATATATATATATATATATATGTGTGTGATGTGTGTATATATATATATATATATATATATATATATAATGTATGTATATGTATGTGTGTGTGTGTGTGTGTCAGTCAGACAGAACAGCCAACTATGAATTATGATCACGATGATTTGCTTTCAGAATATCTGAGTGACCCTTTTGATACCTCTAATTACATGGAGGACACTGAACACAGTTCACCCCCTCACCATGCTGGGGGATCGTGCACATGGGAAGATACAGACATGGAGGATGACATGGACCTTGAAGAAAATAAATGTGAAGAATCAGACTGGGAAGAACATACGTCATGTTCATCTCTAGCAACTGACCTTGCAACTTGGGCTTCAGCATACCAAGTGAAGAACAATGCTCTTGATCAGATGTTGAAGATTCTTCAGAAAAATGGCTACCCTGAACTTCCCTCTTCGGCTCGTACTCTTCTTAAAACACCAAGGCATGTAACCACAATCCAGAAGTCTGGCATGGAGTACCTGCATTACAAGCTGTGTCAGAAGATGCTGGATACCCTGGACAAGTACCCTGCTGAATATCTGTCAGTGCCTTTGACACAATTAACCTGTCTTTCAATGTTGATGGGCTGTCATTGTTCAAGAGCTCAGGGAAAATTATGTGGCCTGTCCTGTGTGCTGTCCACCTCAAACCCATCACCATCTTCCCAACATTAACATGTGGAAACAAGCGTCCAAGCAATCTGCATTTTCTGGACGAGTAGCATAGTAGCAGACCTCCAAGAATTGTTGAGTGGTGGCCTTCAGTACAAGGAGAGAACGTTAAGAATTAACATTCTTTGCATTGTGTGTGATGCTCCGGCAAAAGCCTTTATCCGTAATACAACATTATGGTTGTGATAAACGTGACCAAAAAGGCGAGTGGCTTAAAAGGGTCACATTTCAGCAGACAGACAACCTCACATTGCGCACAGATGCTTCATTTAGGTATCAAATTCAGCCACAGCATCACAATGGCAATACACAGTTTACCCATTGATATGGTGAGAAGCTTTCCAGTTGATTACATGCATCAGGCATGTCTGGGGTGATGGAAAGGCTTCTTCACATATGGAGCAGGGGAGAGAAGGGATTTAGGATGTCTGCTGTCCAAGAAGAAGAGGTCAGCAATAGGCTTCTTCTCATAAAAAATGAAATCCCCTCAGCCTTTGCCCATATTCCTCAAGGTCTAGATGAGCTTGAGAGATGGAAAGCAACAGAGTACTGGCAAATCATGCTTTACACAGGAAAAATAGTGTTGAAGGGAATCCTGAGAAATGACCTGTACCTCCACTTCCTGGCATTCAGTGTGGCAATGTACATATTAGTTTGTCCTTCACTTGTCAAGCAGCATGCAGAATATGCACACAACCTCTTGCAATACTTTGTTACCAGAGGACGGGAGTTCTATGGGAGAGAATTTCTGGTGTACAACACTCACTCAGTGCTCCACATTACTGAAGATGCTTTATTATTCAATGGATTAGACAACTGCAGTGCTTTCAAATTTGAAACTTACCTGCATACAATGAGAAGGATGGTATGGAACACACCCCCTTGCACAGATTGGCAACAGGATGGAAGAGAGAAAATCAGAACCGCTTCATGGCCACCTATCAAGAAAAACAAGAAACATCAAGGACAGAGCATTTTTGCTTGAAGATGGGGAAAGCTGCAAGATTGTAGATGAGATGGAGACAGATGGAAAGGTTCTTTTATAGAGCATACCATCATCCAGCAACACTCTTCATGGATCCATGCACCTCATTTCTCATTGGGGCATTCAGCTACAAAAAAAAGTAACACTACAATGAGGTGGATCACCTATAAGAAAATTGAAAACAAAAAAAAAGCCATCAGGGTGCACATGGGAGATAAAACAACATTCACGGGCAACTTACGTCAGGTGTAACGAAATAATTTCATTGTAGGAAAGAAGGAGAAACCTTAGAAGAATATGTAAGTAATTTTAATGAAATCAAGGTTCTTAAAATAGATCTTTCAAAATGGGTCACGTTTCTTTTTTCAAAAAGATAATGTCTGAAAATGTCTTATTTTTTATTATTATATGTATTCAGTTCTAAGATGATGCCTAAAGACTGTGTTGAAAAAAGTCACTGTGTATTTCAAACTACTTTAGTTTCAGATTCAACTGGAAGTATTTAGCCAATAGCAGTCCTGCAGTCAGGAACTGAATGCTGATTAAGGGCTAGAGGATGTCAGAACTGATAAAATCAAAGAGACCAAAAAGACTGTGCAATCTCAAACTGTATATCCATGATTGATTTTCCACCAAGCATTTTGAATATGTATTAATTTTGCCATATTTGAGTGTGTTGCTGTGCAGTGGAAATGATATTGAATTTGATTTAAAAAATTGTGCAACCCTTGTAATAATTGTGCAACCCTTATAATGTATGTGTGTTAAGTAACTGTTTGACATATTCTCTTTTCTACAGCGTGTACTACATTGTGGAATTTACTGAAGAGAATCTAGTTGGCATCGTGACTCAGTGCCGGACCTATGAAGAAAATGGGGTATGTCAGATAATAATATAACAATAAGTGTCACAACTGTAACCATTATAACAATCTAATTCTCTTTCTACAGCTGTTCTGCATATAACCTCAAAAATAAATAATATAGCTGTGAACAAACTGCATGTATTTCAGCAACAGTAGAGTTACTGGCCACCAAACAATCCTACCAAAAGGGCGAAAAAGGAGGAGATCCCAGATGAACACAGCTGGATTTCCAGAAAAATCCATGTCTTTGCCACAACAGGTAAAGCTGAGCTTCCAAGCATGCACAACATCTATGCATAACATCCTGCTCTCTGTGTAAATGTGGTGGCCAATACAACATTCATACTGCTTTCACTTGTTTTAATGTGTATAGTGTTGTAGTGTTTATGCCCTTACAAACTAAAGGGAAGAGTGATAAAACACATTATTTGATCAGTTGACTGTTTGTACATCACTATTTGTGAATTCCACACAAGCTCACTTGAGCCTGTCCTGATACATTATAGATCACTGCAAAAAAAGTACAAAATCATAAAGAATTCTAATGCAAGGGAAATAAATGTTGAAAGTGTTTTATGAATTGGTCTTCAAAAGCTTGAGAAAAAATATCCATGGCACTCTTCACTGAATAAAAAGCCTATACTGGAGGATGGCTATGGACAAAAATTCTTTTGACAAGTTTCACACGAAGGAAGATTTAATTTCCTAGAAGCTGACTCATGCTGGAATGTGTTGAAAGATTTTTTGTCCAGGGCAGTCCTACAATAAAGGCTTTTTAATTCAGTGATGGCTGCCATGGATATTCACTTTTTCCATTATAGAACTTCAATTTGATAAAACCATGCAAACTCTCAATGTTCTCTAAACTCTTTTTTTAGCAAATAATTTTTGAAGCTTGACTCATCAGCTTTATGACGTGACCAGACAGACCCTAGATGGGCTGGTGTGGATTAAACCTATTACAGTTTATTTCTATATCACTGTTACCTTTTGATATTTTGATAACTTCGAGAAAGCCCTCAGATGGAGCTGAACTGTGGAGTACAGATATACTGTGGAAAGTGACAAAGAGATCATGCATCCAAAAAGGCCACCAAAAGACCCATCAAATATGGAGACAGCAGTGAGGGTAGGAGACAACTTACCAGAAATGACACACTGGGTATTCTGTGTGTGTGTGTGTGTGTGTGTATATATATATATACACACACACATATATCTGTGTACTGCTGAAATGAAACAGAAAAACAGGTCAGAGCAATATCACATCCAGCTTTAATACAGGCTGTCTTATCAGTACATTTATGTTGTATGACCTTTTTAGATGAGAGACCTTTGCAAACAAAGGATACTTGGGAGCCTCCAACTAAGAAAAAATTTCAAGGTATGCGTGATAACTCACTAAAACTACATACCAATCCAATATGGCTGAACGCATTGTTTTAAAAATGTATGTGCTATTTAGATGGACCTGTTCCTTGACTATAGGCAACTTCTGAAATCCCACGGCAAAAGACAGATGAAGGCGTGGCAGTATATTTTTTTCCAGTGTCCTGACTTAGTTATTTCAAAAATCAAGTTGAACAGTCTATTTTGAACATTGAACATTTCCCCTTTCATCATATAATTTTATATTCAGGTCTCAAGCAGTTGTATAGAAACAAGCTAAGCTTCCCACACCCGCCAGTCACCATCCTGTGTACAGGAAAACCAGAATCGATCGTAAGTGATTCCAAAATCCTAATATATAACAGAAAACCAACATGCATGACAGTTCAAGTCCTATAATTTTCTTTTTTTAAAGTTTCACTTTTACATATTATTCTCATATGCCCAAATAGACAAAGCCAAACACTGACCTTTACACCCCACCCTGGCATGAGATTTTATTGATGGTAAAACTGAACCAATAACAAAGTAGTTTTCAAATTTGTATTTCTCAAAGCAGTATTTCTCAGTTAACTTAAACCCAAAGTCATACCAGTCTAATAGCAGAGGAATTCATAGACACTCTGGGCATTGCTCACTTTGGGCTTTATAAATGAATCCCCTGGAGTTCCTTTGTCTTGGACAAAAAAATGTTTTCCCTGCACTACCATAGCCGCTTTAAATCAGGATACTAAGCTAATTTGTTGAAATCACCCATGTTCACAGCATTTCTAAGAGCATGAGTGCTGGTTTAGGACCATGTCTTGTTTACAATGATTTTAGTAACAGAAACAGATCCTAGATCAGCACTCCTGCTCTGAAATGCTCTGAATATGTGCCCAGGTTTGTTATAGCGGGGAAAACTAAAAAAAAAAAATGCAGGACAGGGGCCACACTAGGAGCATAGCTGGTAAATATGCACATATAGCAATTTGGTTGCATCTGTTGCTTTTTACCATTAAAAGTTACCCACAGTATGTTAATGTCTGGCTTGCAGAAAATGAACTACCAGACACATCACACTCCATGGCTGTGGCACAAGACTTAATCAATGGTAGAAAAGTTTATTTTAAAACTTATTTAAACACTTGCTTTAAAATAGTAATGTTAACACAGAATCTTGTGTTAGCAGAATATTTATGATATGATTTAGATGGTGGACCATCATGGGCAAGAACTACTTGGGAGCCTCCAATACAGAGTAGATTTCAAGGTATATTTGTGAATTCACTACAAATGAAGACCATTGAAATGTGACTAAATGTAAAGCCAATTCCGAACACCCTTAGGAAAAGTTATTTGGATTATATTTTGTTGATTCCACGTGAGAAATTAATTTGGCCTTTCGCCAAAATGTTTGAGAAAAAAAAGATGAAGATAAATGTACATACAAAGACAAAAGTATTTTGTATGCAGGGAATTACAGTGCTATGTAAAAAATTGCTTTTTACTTTCAGAAACACTTCAAATTCCACTTCAAAAAGTAAAGACTCTGGCTGCAAACCAGAGGGAGATGCTACTTCTGTTGCAGAAGAGCCAGGGGAGACAAAGGGAGGGAGAGACAACTTTAGAGCTAAATGTAGCACAGACCAAAGAAGACCTCTACAACATCGAACACCAACTCAAAGAGGCAGATTTCAGAAGGAAAGTGGTGTGTGCTTAGTTATGTTATGTTTATATGTGTAGCTACTTACATGAGGTTAACGTTAACCTGACTGAATGTCACTGTAGTGCTGAGAATGATCAACCACCCAAATAATACATGCTCTCTGGGGGTCCTGACCATGGAAGAACAGGGTAAAAGGGAGCTAACAAAGTATACAGAGAAACAGATGGATTACAGTTTGTGACTTAAGAGGTTCATTCCAAAATGCTGAAACGAATTATAGCTGACGTATAATGGATAATTGTATTTTGATTTCTCTAAGAACATTGAATTAATAATTATATATCATTGATATGTCTTGTATTTGTAAAGCTCACAACAAAATATGAAAAAAAAATCTTTGAGGTAGTGTGTCAATTTGAAGTAGACGTAGAAAGTGCTCCTAAATGTACCTAATAAACTGGCCTATATATGATATATTAATATCTATAATATATATATATAATAATATAATATATATATATATATGTATATATATGTATGTATATGTGTGAACAAACACACACAGGCATCACTGCAGTGCTGAGAATGATGCACTGACGAATCTACGAGTGAAGATAGAAGTGTAATGTGTATACACTGATCAGGCATAACATTATGACCACCTCCTTGTTTCTGCGCTCATTGTCCATTTTATCAGCTCCACTTACTATATGGGTGCACTTTGTAGTTCTACAATTACAGACTGTAGTCCATCTGTTTCCCTGCATACTTTGTTAGCCCCCTTTTACCCTGTTCTTCAGTGGTCAGGACCCCCATGGACCCTCACAGAGCAGGTACTATTTGGGTGGTGGATCATTTTCAGCACTGCATTAACACTGATCTGGTGGTGGTGTGTTAGTGTGTGTTGCACTGGTCTAAGTGGATCAGACACAGCAGTGCTGCTGGAGTTTTTAAACACCTTAGTGTCACTGCTGGACTGAGAATAGTCCACCAACCAAAAATATCCTTCCAACAGTGTCCTGTGACTAGAGGATGACCAACACAAACTGTGCAGCAGCAGATGAGGTATCCTCTCTGACTTTACATCTACCAAGTGGACTGACAAGGCAGGAGCGTTTAATGGAGTGGACAGTGAGTGGACACAGTGATTAAAAAGATCAGGGTTTGAGAAGTTGTACAGTAAATTAAATAAATAAAATGCTATAATTAAATAATAAAAATCTTTTACTACATACATCCATCATCTAAACCGCTTATCCTTCTGCCGCCTAATCTTTTACTAATAAAAGTAAAATTTAATAATAAAAAGGTACCAATAAACGGTTAAATCAGTAAACGATTAAAATTACAATATAACAACTTATCAAGCAACAGAGCAGATAAGGATAAAATAAATGAAAACAAATTAATGAAATAGAAGAAATAGATGTAAGACAATTAATTGACAATAATAAATAAAAAGAATGATGAAAGATAGAAAGATAAAAGTACAAAAGTAAAAAGTAAAAACAATAGCTAAGACACTAGCTAAATGTCTGTTTATAATCAATATAATAAGTTCACTTTAAGACAATACTGCATAGCGTTTCCAGCCTTTCTAAAGTGTCTGAGGGCTTGTGGAGTGCTGGAAAGGCCTTTTCAGTGTGAGGAAGCGCCTAGGTCCTCGACTTCATGATTATAAAGGTGTAGTCACATAAGTTAAAATAGTTATATTTTTTCTTAAGAAAATGTGATTTACTGTACGTTCCCACACATATAAAGGATATTTTATTGCAGAAATGTCGACTTCATGATCGTATAGGTGTAGTCATATTTTTTTCTTAAGCAAATGTGATTTACTGTCTGTTCCAAAAAATGTACAGGGTATTTTATGGCGGAAATGTCTGTTTATGATCATTATAATGAGTTCACGGTAAGACAATACTGCATAGCGTTTCCAGCCTTTCGAAAGCGTCTGAGCGCTTATGGAGTGCTGGAAAGGCTTTTTCAGTGTGAAGAAGCGCATAAATCCACGACTTCATGATTTGTGATTTACTGTCTGTTCCAAAAAATATAAAGGATATTTTACGGCGGAAATGTCTGTTTATAATCGTTATAATAAGTTCACATAAAGACAATACTTCATAGCGTTTCCAGCCTTTCTATACCATTTGAGTGCTTGTGGAGTGCTGGAAACGCCTTTTCAGTGCGATGAAACACATAAATCCACGACTTCATGATTGCATAGGTGGAGTCACCCAAGTCGAAGTAATTATATTTTTTTATATTTACTGTCTGTTCCAACACATATAAAGAATATTCTATGGCGGAAATGTCATAACAATAAGTTCACGTTAAGACAATACTTCATAGCGTTTCCAGCCTTTCAAAAGCGTCTGAGCGCTTGTGGAGCGCTGGAAAGGGCTTTTCAGTGTGAAGAAGAGCCTAAATCCATGACTTCATGATTGTACAGGTGTAGTCAACCAAGTTACAGTAGTCATATTTTTCCTTAAGTAAATGTGATTTACTCTCTGTTCCCACACATATAAAGGATATTTTAAGGCCGAAATGTCTGTTTATTATCATTATAATTAGTTCACGTTAAGACAATACTACATAGTGTTTCCAGCCTTTCTGAAGCGTTTGATCGCTTGAGGTGTGCTGGAAACGCTTTTTCAGTATGAAGAAGCGCCTAAATCCACGACTTCATGATTGTACAGGTGTAGTCATCCGATTTAAAGCAGTCATATTTTTTCTTAAGTAAATGTGATTTACTCTCTGTTCCAAAACATTTAAAGTATATGTTGCGGCAGAAATGTCTTTTCATAATCATTGTAATGAGTTCACGTTAATTCAGTACTGCATAGCGTTTCCAGCCTTTCTAAAGCGTCTGAGCGCTTGTGGAGTGCTGGAAACGCCTTTTCAGTGTGTAGAAGCACCTAAATCCACGACTTCATGATAGTACAGGTGTAGTCACCCAAGTTAAAGTAGTCATATTTTTTCTTAAGAAAATGTGATTTACTATCTGTTTCGACACATATAAAGGATATTTTATGGCAGAAATGTTTGTTTATAATCATTATAATGAGTTCACGTTAAGACAATACTGCATAGCGTTTCCAGCCTTTCTATAGCTCCAAGCCCCCTTTCCAATATTATAGTCACTGTTCTTAAGGGTTTGGTTATTATGTAACGGCCACATGAACTTTGGCCTAAAGCTCAGACTAAATGTTTTTAAACCTAAAAGTCTGAGTCATGTTTACTAGGTTTTGTCTTCACAAAATTAATTCCCTATTCTATTGTAATGGGACTGAGGTTTCTGAGCCTGTGTTTAAGAACTCATGTCCCATCTTACTCTTTCAAAATGACATGGCTCATACTGGGTATTTTGGCTCACAGATTTCATTGCAATTTCTTTTCATCCCTGGCTTCATTTCAGAAGTGCAGTTATAAGACCCTGGGCTTTGGCTTCCAAATTAGCATTCAAATATAATAATTCCTGTTCCAAGAGGCCTTATTCTAAGGCATTTTGTGTTTGGGATACAATTCTGGCACTTGTTCTCAGAGCTCCTATTCCAGATTTTATTCTTCAGAGTCCAAATGGCTGGATCATACTGCTGAAAGTTTGCTTAGGTGTTAGGTATTTCTTTTCAACATTATTGTCCCTGTCTTAAGGTTTACTTTATTGTTATTAGGCTACAAACCAGAGTCTTAGAACACAAATCCTAGACTTTAATCTTTCTTAGCTATACAATAGAAGCTTGAGAACAAGAGCCTAGGACTGTGCTTCAGAGAACCAAACAAAATTTCTTGGTCCTATTCCAAGGATTTCGTGTCAGGAGAGATGATATTATGCCTTTACTTCTCTTCAAATTTTTAACCTTTATTCACTAAAAATTTGGGTCATGGGTACTTGTTCTTTTCTTGGGCTTAAGTAATTTCATTGCAATTTCTTATCAACCGTGAAGACTGATCAGGGATTTACTGTAATCCCTATTTGTAAGTGCTGTTTTTAGTTCCTGGGCTTTTGGCCTTTGCCTCAGAATCATGCCTCAGATTTCATTATTTTGAGGCAATCAGGCAGGGTACCTTTGGCCTGGGCCTGGGCATTAGTTCACCCCTCAAAAATTATTTTCTATATTCTAAGGTGTTTGTTGTTCATGAGGGGACACTGGGCCTAGGCCTCAGAGCTTCCATTCCAAATTTTATTATTTGCAGTCTCAATGACTTCATCATTGGTAGTAGATTCTTGCCTAGGTTTTTGTGTAGGTTATGTAGGTAGATGATGTTAGGCCTTGGCTGCTGTTCAAATTTTTAATCTTTAGACACTAAACATCTGGGTCATGGGTACTGGTTGTTTTCTTGGGCTTTCGTAATGTCATCGCAATTTCTTATCAGCCCTGAATACAAATCAGGAATTTACTATAATTTCCAAGTGTAAGTGCTGGTTTTAGTTCATGGAGTTCATAGTTCATTTAGTACCTTTGGCCTTGGCCTGGGCCTTTGCCCTCCCAATAAAATTTATTTGCTATATTTTAAAGGTGTTTTATGTTCACAAGAGGACACTGGGCCTAGGCCTCAGAGTTCCATTCCACATTCTCTTCTTTACCGTCTCAATGGCTTGGTCTTTGGTAGCATATCCTTGCCTAGGATTCAGAGCTCCACTCACAATTTGTATTCAACCATTGGAACAGGTTTGGATTTTGGTTCAAAGACCCACCGACTCCAAGCCCCCATTGCAATGTTGTAGTCACTCTTCTTAAGGGTTGGGTATTATATAGTGGGCCCATGACCTTTGGCTCAAAGCTCAGATTAAATGTTTTTAAAACCTAAGAGTCATGAGTACTCAGTCTGGTCTTCACAAAATTAATTCCCTGTTCTATTTTTATGAGATATATGCCTGTGGGCCTGTGTTTAAGAGCTCATGTTCCATTTTACTCTTTCAAAATGAAATGGCTCATACTGGTTATTGGCTCAGATATTAAAGTTAAATTTCTTCGTTGGCCTCAGTTCAGAAGTTAAGTTAAAGATGCTGGGCTTTGGTCTCCAAATTAGCATTCAAA